GCATGATTAGCCCGTTTTTTTGAACAAGTTAAATATTGGTTTGAAAATATACTTACACTTAACGCGTTCGCTGGCGACTCGACAGACACCGATGCGCTCTGTAGACATGACCGTCTCCGTCCATGCCGACTCGTATCGTTCGATAGTTCGTTGCGAAGGACTGCGCGGCCATGCCAACGAATCATTAACTACATATATACCGTATTTGAAAGGGCTTACAACTACTAGATACATCTCATTAGCACTAATTGCGTATTGCTCACTCGAACCATTGTAACCTTTCGAGATCGAGAAAAGATGACTTGCAATTTTTATAGGACAAACTCCGGTGAAACAGGATTTTTTCCTGTAAGAAAACGTGCTTTAGTATAGCATTGAAGATCTGTCCCACTGGAAGTGATAGCCCGCGTTAGTCTTGCTAAACAGTCCTATGAAATGGTAACCACAGAAGCAATTATTAACCCTAGTGTTATTGCCTTTGTAGTCATTAGTTCCTAGTAATTACCCTACCAAAATTAAGATTCGAATCAGCGACACCGTGTGCTTTTCCTGCAGGTTTACTATAACCTCTGTATGGAAACGCACTTCGAGGTGCGCGTCAGCCGCCTGAAAAACGCTGCCTTCTTAGGTAAAGCACAGATTAATGAAATCATTAAATTAATTAAATTGGAAATTTAAATCATTGTTGAAATTGTTCGCGGTGGAATATAATCCAGGCCCCGACTCTGGAGGCGCCCGGACCGACTGAAACTTTCCGGGCGATCAGTCAGAAGTGATGTGGTAGAGCTTTGTTCCACGCCTGCTGTTCAGTATTGAATCTAGACGTGTCCGTTTATCTACACTGCATTACGGGGCACCTGGTGTGTATGCGGAGCGCTTCCTAACCCGTGCGCCTATTTTAGCCTACGAAAATAATCATCGAGGATGGCTCAAGACGTCACCTCCGAAAGCAGGGAACTAGAAAACGAAGTTAACGCTACCTGCTGCGTGACTGTTCCGACCTGCGGTTGAACGATGCCTTTCGATAACCGAGATTATTTCGTTGAAGTGGATCTTTGTTACATAAACCTTTGAGAAAGCTTAATCAGGTTGAGTTTCTGCAGGCACAGACACATGTTCAAGGACAATGCGCCGAATTTCCTCCTATGAGGATTTACTTTGTGAACTAGTCTAGAGTTGCAAGAGACAGGTTTCGCACCATGCATCTCTGTTTTCGAAAATGCAAGAGCTCAACAAATTCGGTATGAGTACAAAAGATTTTTAACATCGAATCGGTGCCGTTGTGTACTATCTTCGAATCAACGATGCAGGGCTATTTAAGGCCACAATAAGCATTGTTGTTGTTCATCGGCATCCGTGCACCCGTACATCTTTTTAGTATGTCTGTTTAACTACGTGCGTCCATTGTATGTAAGAGCCTAATTTGATCAGAGAAGAGTTCGATTTGCGATGGCCGTTGTTGTATTACGCATCGCTGAAACACGCTGATGTTTATGTCGGCGTAGATTTTGAGACTAATGTACTGCGAATCTAACGACAGTTGCCGATGTTGGAACTAGTCAAAAAGCATTTCGAAGGATTATAGGCCATGGGGTACTTTTAGCCTTTTAGATCTTCCTATCATGTTTCTTAGACTAAACGGATGTTTCGATCTCATGTCTAGCGCGTTGCTCTTCTTCGTACTGGCGAACTGACTTGACAAAATAATAACATCTTTTTAATACAATGTTTTGAAAAAGCAGTTCTGAGAAGCTGATGGAACAGCATTTTATGTTAGATGTGTGTGGGTGTCCTTTGTTAATGAAGTAATTGTAACTTTGATTATCAAATATTCTATATCCAATTCGTTAGTCATAATGATATTAGTATACTTCGTGCATGTATCAAATCGATACGCCTATCGATTATTATATCATCAAGTTAGGTATATAATACTTTATTTGTCCCAGTGTAAATCATAAGTATTAAATAGACGCTTGTAGTTTTCACATGGTTGCCGCTCTTGTATGGACCAGTGGGTAATTTATACTATAGAGCTAAGGTCAAGTGTTTACCTACAGGATATCCATAAATCATCGAAGTATAGATTAGTTAGAATGATTACAAGCGTGCGATAAGTTTATCGCATTAAACATTGCCGTTTTTGTATAGTGTACCTGCTTATTTGCTTACATTTTGAAATCCGTAAGGTATAATGTTTGTGTATGTATGTATGTATGTATGTATGTATGTATGTATGTATGTATGTATGTATGTATGTATGTATGTATGTATGTATGTATGTATGTATGTATGTATGTATGTATGTATGTATGTATGTATGTATGTATGTATGTATGTATGTATGTATGTATGTATGTATGTATGTATGTATGTATGTATGTATGTATGTATGTATGTATGTATGTATGTATGTATGTATGTATGTATGTATGTATGTATGTATGTATGTATGTATGTATGTATGTATGTATGTATGTATGTATGTATGTATGTATGTATGTATGTATGTATGTATGTATGTATGTATGTATGTATGTATGTATGTATGTATGTATGTATGTATGTATGTATGTATGTATGTATGTATGTATGTATGTATGTATGTATGTATGTATGTATGTATGTATGTATGTATGTATGTATGTATGTATGTATGTATGTATGTATGTATGTATGTATGTATGTATGTATGTATGTATGTATGTATGTATGTATGTATGTATGTATGTATGTATGTATGTATGTATGTATGTATGTATGTATGCATGTATGATGTATGTATGTATGTATGTATGTATGTATGTATGTATGTATGCATGTATGCATGTATGCATGTATGTATGTATGCTAAGTACGTTAATGTTAATTTAGTTTAAAAATAAATGTAAAAATAAGTTTGCAAAATCAGCGTTAATATGCACTTCTCCCGAAGGTTGTTGACAGCATTGTATTTAGGCTATGTTAAGCAATTAAAGGTAATTATTGCAAATGTTATGTTTTTGCGCATTTTGATAGGATTTTGCGCTGTGTTATCTGGCGCCATCGATTCGGCGTACGTGATAAATGGTGCAGCGACCTCCCTGTAGTTGAAGGACCTTTCCATGATTTATACGGTTGTTAAGCCAATTGTAAAATAAAAAAGACCATCAACTTCACAATTCAATGTTCTATAACGCTGTTTCCCGATCTGCATTAATGGCAACAATTAAATTACTTACTTAAGTGCCTCGAACACCAAAAACTGAGATAGGGTCACCGAATTTAAATAAAAACATCGAAAATTCCTATGTTCCCAGACCCATACGAGAACTACGCGAGACACAGATTGTGTCAACTAGAACTCGGATTGAATTTAATCGTCCGAACTATTTTAACACGCCATGGATGAGTATTAAACGCCAAAAGGTCATAACATCTGAAAGCTTATAAATTTAACAATAATCTACTACTACTACTATGTTAGTTATGTTAATTAGACGCTAATTTGTAATGTAATATATTCAGATAGAGATACCTATAGATGACATTCAGACTTTCTGAGCAAGTTTAATCGCCCTCTAGTCCAAGTCTCTTATTTTAAATTGAACTTTGAGACTGCACTAACTTTGTCCTGACCGACCTATGTAGAATCGCTTTCGTGTCATCTGCATGCAATTAGCATTCTGTTGCCGTTTCCACATCAATGGCAGACAGCTACTGTATCGTAATTATTCAATTTGTTGCTTTACAAATATCGTTTCAAAAGTACGTGGTTTCAACGTGAACAAAAAAAAAAAACAGTAACAGGTTGTAACAATCACAAAACAGTTTTGTCTACAGATTTGCCACAGGATCTACCCGAACGTAATCTGTGCAACACTTGCTGAACGGCAACACTTTTTAGCTGGGTCCTAAACATTACGTTGGCCCGTGATTTTTCACTCGGATATTGTAACTATGCCACAGTTTGCTGAGTATTAGTACTAAGATAGTTGTGTAAAATTTATGACAAGCATCACATTTGCTCATACGTATTCTGTTTGTCTCGTCTAAAGAGCGTGGTTTTCTAGCAAGGTCGAATCGAGATCATCTGTTACTTTTTCAGAGGTGGACAGCTTGGACTAATCCGTTATTGCAACCCAGACATTTGCAGCTACGAAGTATTTCGGTACAGGCTACCTAATATCGCTGCTTTTGAACTCACCCCAGCTGTATTTTTCTTACCTAACTTTCATCTTCCTAAAGTAGGTGTGCAATTCCTATCGACAGGTCAATTTCTTTCGATGAAAATCGGTTGCTGCTAGGCCTGATCTGCACACCTTTGCTTACCGCTGCTACTGCCGGTTAGGTACATAAAAGCTCTTCCCATGTTAGTAAGTAACGCAGCTGTTTTCTATTCTTAGGGACACATCGTAGTCTAGGTTTCAACCCGGGCATAGACACAGTTCGTCTTGTGCTGGGAATCGGCTATCTGATCGAGTGCCTAACGGCGATAGCGGACGTAAAACTCGAAATACAGAGATATGCTCACGCCACCGCAGTCCTTTCGCTAGTTGAGACCCTTCGTGTCCTGTACAAGTGCAAAATCGGCACATCGATCGACGTTCGCCTATCGCCACTAACTAGCAGCTCGATAGAGAGAGCTGCGCTGATAGCGTTCATCCTTACCTTAATTGGACCAAGTCGACCGTTGTGGTTTAGACAAACACTGTTTTGGCATTTTGCTGGTTTTTGTCGCTGGCTTAATCAGCCGTTGGATACACGGTCCGTATAGTGATTTACTGCAGTCACCGCTCTTTATGTATGGCTGTTGTGGCCACTGGCGTTTCAAATAACGACGCAAGCCGCTAGTCACAATTCATGTCGCTTGATATGTCGTGGTGTTACGTTCCGCGGCGAGCGGCAACAGCTGCCATCGCGACAACAGTGTTAGCGGCGCTAGTCAGATCTGTGGATCAGACAAACAGACAGCTCGGAGTACTCAGTTGCCCCTCCAAGCTTCTCAGGAGCGGCGTTTGTCCGTCTGTGCATGACACCTAGCTGTCTGCGTGTTCTTTGTGCAGTACCGAGTGCGAATGAGCTAGATCGGCCGGGGATGCAGTTGCTTGTACTAGAAGATCTGAATCTACGGCTTTCAGAAAAAGCTGATTTGTGAAAGCAATCGTAATACTCAACTAGTCAGTTCCGAATCCTACCTACTGAGATTGCTGCGACACCTAATTGGGTCGAACAGATGATAAACGAGAGATTTTCTTAATTTTGCTGCGTACGTACGTATGGATGGTCTATGTGTTGTATCTGCGCGATGTGCGTGAGCGTGTCCATCTAACCTTGGCTGGCTATGGACTCGATGCAAATCAAACTTTGCTGAAACTGTGAGTTTTATTTATTGAGTTTAAGGGTAAAATTCATTGAGCGTATCGTTCATAGATAGCTGTGGGAATAGATGTCAACAATTACCATAGATTTGCTAGTATGGCTGTTTAAGGTCTGCAGTGATCGATTGTCTGCCATTGAAGGAATGGCATATGGCAGCGCATCAGTTATACGGCCTTACAAATAAGTTTTTCGGCAAACTGGGTCCCTGTAGGTGCTATTCTTGCTAAAATATTCAAATGCTATTCTTTCGAAAATATTCAAGGGAATGCGATACAATCTATATATTATATTATTAAAGACTTATTGATAGAGCAAATATTCGAATTTACTATTGCTTGAATGAACTTGATTAAGGGTCAACGAAACTTTTGGCAGGTTTCGTTTAGAAGTGCAAATAGTTCGTGAACCAAATTCTACTTTTGCAGACAGCTGCTGACTTTAACAGGCGCTTCTAGCCAGGCATCGATCTTAGAATTTTCATCACTCGAAAGTTAAACATTTGAGACTTTCGGCTGAACGTCGTCTTGGTAACTGTGGTCGTATATTATCTTTCCAATGTGCTGCTTGATGAGAACATTAAAAACTTATAGTCTAGTGTCAACCCAGGTAAGCTATGTCGCTGCCGTTACCGGTAGCCAGTCGTGTGAGAACCTTCAAATATTTCTATGTTTGGGCACAACGATTCTTCAGATCGACGCATGGCATGGTAGGAAGCGGCCCAGGTATTTTTTGGATGAAGCAGCCAGTTTTACGGCCAACGTCACGTCGATACGCGAGTGCTCTCACGTCCGACGGAAGTTGACTTCGATTATGTCTATTTCGTTCGATTCTACTCGAACGTGACTTTATTATGCTTATCATTATTACTATTGTCGCTTCGGTAAAGAAGGTCAGCTGTGTTATCCAATAGAAGTTGCTTGGTAGGAAAATGTTTCCGGGTTGACGCGGTGCCAACGTATCTGCCTACAAAACTTGAAAATATACTACGTGACCTATTGGTTGAAATCTTGGACTACGCACGTTTGTTTTGTCGTAAAGGTCCGATAAACTTATCGATACAACGCTAACTGCTAGGGCACGCAGCTGGAAAGAGCAGATGTAATAAGCACTTCGTCATTATGAGGCGTTTCAAAGACCTCTTTATGAAAAATAATTAGACCACGTTTTTGTCAGTTGCTAGAAGTCGGATAAATCCATTCATATTTAGGTAAATCACAGAAAGTTAACTTTGTACATAATCTCCAGTGAAACTATTATTCACGAAAAAAAAAAAGCTCTACGGAAATAAGCTTCTAGACAGACTCAAAAACAACGGCTACGAGAAAGCATAGCTGTAGGCTTCGAACGACGTAACTTACATGTATGAACTTTTGCTTATCATGTGTACAACTTCGGGGGCTTCCCTTGGCTGAACCCACATGAGCCGCTGCATTGTTGACAATTGACTTGCAGTGTGTTTAGGTCAACGTACGTAACCATTTTATGATATGTTTGCATCCTATATGGTTCCTAAAATGTGTTGTAACATAGCAATTCACGAAACAGTAGAGGTTAAACTGGCGTCTTTCTGCATATTGCTAGGAAGCTCAGGGTAGGCAAATGTCCTGGCATTAAAATCATGAAAAAAATTATCCTCATTCATTTTACGCGTATTCTGTGGTGGAACACTGATAAATCGATGTGCATATTACGCACAAATTGTTTAATCGTCACAAAGAAATCGTTTATATCGTTGTTACTAATCGGACCTGGCTGTTTTTTATCGCGATTTCGGCATAACATGACGTCACCGTCAGTGGCTGAGCCAGATTATAGATTCGTGTGAATGGAACTGCAATTGACGTATCACGGAACGCTTGTGACTTCGCGGGTAATGAACGACGTAAAAATTTCGATAGCATCTTTGCGATTTTGGATCGGCGTTCGTGAAGCCTATCGCACTGAAGTCATTAAATCGAATGGATTTTGCCAAGGATTATCAAGCACTAAAGTACTATTATGTTTGTATACATACGTTCGTATAGGCTAGTTAGATCGGCATTTATTTAAATATCCGCTTGTCTAGATGGCGGCACAAGCGAAAATCTTCAAGGTGTCTCCTAATATACAACGATACGTCGTAACAATGGACTGGACTAGCCACGCATGTGCCTCAACTTTGAAGTTGACGAATTTATGAATGTTGACTCACAAATTCGTCAACTTCAAAGCCTCTAGGTAAAGCTAGTCGCTCGACAGCATCTACTTTCGGGTTCGTGAAAACGTTTTGACATACTTCGTGGAAGGCTTCTAATTATCCTGAAATCTGGACGAACTGTACCTATTTCGAGGCCTGCCATGATTGCAGACGCGCGCACCTACGTAGTTTTCTATTGCCTCTATTGCGTTCCATCGATAGCCATATCTGCCTTCCAACGGGGATTTTTCGGTTCCAATGTAAAGCATGCAACGGAAAGCCCGGCGTATTTTAACTAGAGCTTTCTTTACTCTGTCGCTTGAACTCTGCAAGCGTAAATTGACTTTATTGATTAAGCTTAACTATCCTTATTTGATACTTGACATGCACGTGTTTTGCCATACAGTATCTGAATAGATGGTTTCCAATTTTTCGGTTAGAACAGCCGTTAAACGCTCCCGCAGATGGTTGACTCCTGCCGGCACGAAACGAAGTGTGTCGTCTGCGTCCGGTTTCGCATTTAGCCTACGGCGTGAAGTTAATCGTAGAGTGGGAAACGTGCGCGTCCAAACAGCTCAGATTCTCATTTTCTCGGATACGTTCCTTGGGTTAATCAATCAAAACGACCAGTCACAAGAGAAACGCGACAGAGAACATTCGTTCAGGGCCTTAGGCAGATTTATGTAAAAAGGAAGGTCGTCGGAGAGTTTATCAAACAGCCTGAACAAGCTTGTTGGGATATTTGGAAAGCCACAGCCTAACAGTACACCTAAGTACGACATACGACGGCACCGAGCATGAACAGAAAGACTAAAGATCGTGCTTAAATGGGTACTGGCGTAGTCAACGGTTGGACTTTTGATGGTTGGTTCTAAAGCGATTTGGTTGACCGGTGCCCATAATTAGACCCGTAGAATGGTAGGTTCGACGGTGACGATCGTGCATAAATGCGTTTGCCTACGCCTCCTGAAAATGCTTCACAACTGTGGGCAATAAGTAAATAGAAATGAAATCATCATGTAAGGAAGGAGATTACAAGTGGCGACAGCCACTTGCTTTCGCTACTGTATGACATGAAACCTTGAATTGAATTAGTCAGGAAATTTAATTATACAATATTCCCTATTAGACCATCCTTCTTATTCCTATAATGTATCATAATCGAAGTCGTTCACACAATGGCGGACCGTGTCGATTTCAGGTTTCTATTCAAAAGGAGGCTGGCCGTGCGGTGCGCCAGCAGCGGCCCCACGGGGCCCGCGCCGTCTGTCACCCCCTCGTGGTTAATCAACATGCGGCCGCTAGATGCGTTGTTCTACCAGCAAGGCCGGTTAGTCGCTGCACACCCATGGGAGGTAAGTGGTATAACTTGACAAGCGCTGGAGGCAACACAAAACTTAGGTAGGCAGTTTCGTGCCACGATTTTTCCGCCTGTATAATTGGGTTCCGTTCAGTTTTGCACGATGTGCTTCATTAGTCTAAATTGGCTGATATTCAGACCATTAAACAATGTATCTCACATTTCCCTTTCACGCAGCGTAAACAGGTTTTACAGTGTTACAATTTAGGGCTTCCCCTGTCGATAGCAGTCCCAGGAGTTCAAACCTACGAAGCAACTTTCTATGCTTGAAACCTAGGTCTGTGCCGTATGGATTGAGGCATTTCAAATGAAGGGTTGTAAATTTTTACAGATCGGAAAAAACTGCAAATGCAGGCAATTACTTTGTGTCCAATTCGGAAGAACTATATATATTTGTGCTTATCACGATAGATCTTTTAAATTACATTAGGGCCCCTACGGTCACAATTTATCTAACTATATTAATCCTGAAGCAGGAGTAGCGTAGGAAGAGCAAGTGTATCCGTTGATTTTTAAATTCTGTTACCGATCTGAACATTTTACTAGGATATAATACAAAGTCATTATATCAGACATAGCTTGTTACATATTTTTTGACTTATTGCCGACTCTACCCTTTTATTAGTCTTCTTCTCACGCAATTTTAGCTCTTATTTTTTTCTATTTCTATTCTATTCTATTCTACTACGAATCTTTATCCCAGCTGCGTACTAGATTTGAACTCCATGCATGAGTTCTTGGGATAGTTTGACAATTTCCGGACCTTTCTAGAGTGAACCTGAAAAGTCTTCATAGCCCGAAATGAAGCATATACGTCTTCTGATTTGTCTTAATTGCCACTAGATCCGTTTGTCTTCTGAGGCAACCCTACTTCGATTAACAAATTAAAAAGAGTATAGAAGAGCTGTTGTTGTTAATTGCCATGTATTTCAATCCCAACGATACAAATCAGATTGATTTTAGTTTGCCTTTTTTTGATTATAGATTACTGCGTGCATACATACGTGCAATGTGCAAACAAACGCGACAGCTTTCAGTTGATAGGTACTTTAATGTATACGTATAACCAGAGAAGAGGTTTGACTTGAAAATGATATACATAGTATTAGCGGTGATTGATGAACAGGTAATGATCCGGGATTGATTTTTTTTTGAAGCGTCACTTAATTTAGTTGAATTCCCGAGCGAAGGGGCTAACTTGTTTATGTACGGATAGGACATAGACCCCGATTCAGCTTTATAATGTTTGGGACAAATCAACGACGAAGGCTCCGAGCTACGTTATCATTAGAATCAAACATTGATTTAGGTGCATAGACGGGCCAATCTATGAATGTGTCGGCGGTATTGACGGCCAGGAGTGACGAATTCGTCTAACCTAAAAAAAAAATCTTGTGACATCTATCCGAATCCATTTCCTGATGTGGTTGTCTCATGGTTTAATCTGTGGACATTTCAGAACTACTTTCCTGAATATCGTAATACTATGTTTTACTACCTGTAACAATTGGGTGTGTATGGATTTAAAGATGCCGAAATGTTTTTCGGTTGTTCAGCGGTTTTCTAAACGATCTTACGCACTAAGGACCTAAAAAAATCGTCTATGCGCTTGAGCAATGGTAGATAACAAGGTCCAGGTGTCAGATAGCTGCCATAACCATATATATATATATATATATATATATATATATATATATATATATGTGGTATTTAGTAAATCGATTTATTCGACCGTATCTAATAATTGTCTTCAGGTGATCGTGGCAGCACTAACGTTGATGATAACTCTTGGGCTTACCGCTTCGAACATTGGCTATCCGTCGGCTTCACTACGCTCCCGTGAAGGTACGGATAATTGTAAAGATGTACAATAACTGGAGTCCGCTGGGTTTTATTGATGTTTGCCACAGAAAGACATTTTCTCTTTATAGAGGATCACCAGTGAGTGATAGATATATTGACTAAATATATAAATACTAAATAAAACATTTCGAATGTAAGCGAGGACGGAAAGAGATCTGGCGTAGTATACAACAGCTGTTTTCTCCGTTTAGTCCCACAATATGTTAGTTTCTCTCGGAATCACCGATGTTATGGCTGGCTTCTGGCGTATGTATTTACATGAGTTACTGTCACTGAGTTCTGTACAAAGGACCTGTATTCTTGTAGCTTAGTTTGTCTAGGTCTTTATTATGATACGTTCCTGCACATGGACAACAATGTGGAAACAACGCATGGTCAGAGCTACCTTCGTCCGCTTTAGCTGCGCCAAATAGCGACAGGTGCATGTAAATAAAATAAAGCAAATTTCATCAGATACCTATTACTTTGTGTTTGCAGGTAGCAGTGGAGTTAGTTCAGAGCTGCACGCGGTCATTGTTTTAGGCGCATTACTATACGTGGCACATCAGCTCAAAGCGTTACGATGCTGTCGGCAAAAGGTCATCTTGGCAGCGATAGCATACGCACTATTCTCCGTGCTGATCCTCGCGGGCACTCTCGTTTGCCTTTTCGGACGAACGTTTGCACAAGTCAAGTAAGCATAGCTTTGTATCGGACGAGCCTTGACGGGTTTTCTTGTACCATGGTCACACATGATTGAGGAGCGGTGCCACCAGGCCTGAATGTAATTGATGGAATTGTTAATCGACAGTCGAGTTTGAGGGAAATAGCCCGTGACGTCGGAGTGTTGCCGAGAAGGCCTAACGTGTATTTCATCAATGCATATACATAGTATATAGAATTGTTCAGATTATTGTGCCGATAAGTAAAATGGGTCATGATTTAAAATCAAAAAAAAAAAACAAATTAGATAACTTGTGGTTTTTTTTTACGATTAGATGGTGTTACGTCGGGACTCGCGCGCCCATCATCTGAAGTAATGTTTCACAATAATACCTGAATACTGAACTGCCCACATGAGGTGCGTTTACGCCAATATATAATGACAGATCTGCTTATTTTGTTATTGTTTGCTTTCCAGGGATGCGTTACCGCTATTTGTGCTTCTTCTGGACCTCGGTAAAGCCTCTAAATTAGCTCAGCACACAGCAACGCACGCAAATGCACAGGTAGTGTAAATGTGCTCGATTTTAAACGGGCGTCGCTTTAATGCGATTTGAAAAATTGATGTGTACGTAACAATGACGCTATTAGTCCTTTTATCTGGTGGTCCTTTTTTTTAGTAAGCCGTCCAACGGATGCTTGCCATATAGCGGCTAAAAACTGTTCCAGTATGATTTGACACTGATCTGTTGAAAAGTTTGAAATCTATACTAAGGCGTGTGTGTAAGTTCTAGACTAACCGATTTAATAGCTACAGCCAAGAGCAAAAGTCCTTGTTTTATATACAACAGTTTTTTATTCATATTGCCACTAAACATTATCGTTTACGTCACAGGACGGTGTAGGTGACGCTATCGGGGAGGGCCTAGCAACACTTGGTCCTGGCCTGACGCTGGACACTCTCGTGGAGACTCTTGTGATAGGCGTTGGCGTTGGCAGTTCCTCAGGGGTGGGCTCGAGTTCGGGCCTCGAAAGCCTTGCCATTTATGCTGTGCTTTCGGCTCTAATCACCTATGCTGTGTTCTTCTCATTTTACCCTGCTCTCCTCGCACTTCTATTCGAGGTAAGCGGCTATAGACCCCGCTCGTGTTATATATGACCACGAAACTGGGTTAAGTGTAAATGTGTCTTGGAAAGTAATGCGTGCCAATCTCAACAAGTATAATCGTGGCCAACTGAATCAATTAACCCATCATATTGTAGAACATGGTACTAGTCGACCGTTTGTTTGATACACACCGCTCACATAACATAGACTTTCTGAAGATTTCTCGCCATGACGCCAGGGCAACGAAGAACATTTCTAGTTAAAAGTTCAATGTTACATGAAGACAACGATTTTTTGATAATTTGTTTATCATTGTATTTTTGTCAAAAAATGTCAACGATGAATAGTTTACGTTACAACTGTTAGGGTGACACCCGTAGATAAAGCAGAGACAAGTATATTCTGTTATAGGAAATTTGATTTGTTCTACGTTCACTTCTCAGCAGTGATGACGCAACTCAAAAATTTTCTAGCTTAGAACAAAGACCTTGTAACAAGCGTTCTGTCCTGTTCAATATCGAAATATGCCCTTAATTTGTTGTAACAGTTCGTACTCGACCGAATGCAGTAGTCTTGCAGACCTGGGTTTTTTTTTTAAATGTAACTAGAGAAAGCTAGCTATTAGCCATCTTAAACCGCAACGACGACTTTTTAGGTTTATGAGAACTCTGACCTTATTTCCAAAAATTAGACCGTATCATTAGAATTGATTATACGTTACTTATGAAGTTCCTTGCTGTAACAGAAGTCTGCTAATAGAATGGAAAGCCTTAAGCTGAATCAGCTTATTTGTTATCAGCTTATCATTTGTTGTTTTTTCTTGTTCTGCATTGAAATAATAGGAGACGCCAATCGAAACAAGTGACGCCAATTCATCAGGAGAGGAAAACCAGTCAAATCCAGTTTTGCAAAGAGTTAAAGTTATTATGGTAAGTTCTAAAAGGTTCACAATTACGTGTCCTATATTCACACAAATTGTATAGTATTTACGTGTCGTTGGCAGGACTTGGAATAGCATCCCCTTGGTCTTTCAGCCAGGAAGCCGGTCACCTCAACTACCCCGTCAATATGCGTACCGTAGAACCCAAAAAAGCTGAATTTTTGGGCTTTTTTTTTTAATCGAATTTTCGTTTATATTCCACGCTTAGATATTAACATACTGCGTTGGGTAAGATTTTTAAAATTGTTTAACTTTATTTTTAAGGCAGTTCTTAGATGATATTTATAATAATCATAATAGGAACAACTGTGATTTACTTGATTAGTAAAAAACGGCCTTATGGTTGACATACGTGTGCATTAACTAATGAGCATTATGAGTGACAGCTGTCGGCACAAATCCGGCACTTTTTTGCTGCTAAAGTTGACAGTTTCTAAGGGCTAACATGGATATAAGGTAACCTGCATTCCGGACGTGCAGACGGAAATATATCGGACAAATATTTAGAGAGTCGCCCCTACCATCCAGACGTATGAGTCTCAATGATAAGACTTATAGCAAAAGCTATTGAAGACTCACTAAATCATCGTTGTATGTAAAAGATTGAGGCTGGTAGGAAAATCCGGTTCGTTGTAATGCTTCGTACCATCATCTTCATGCATCCATAAGTCCACTAAATAAATGTCCTGTTTCATTCATTCATTCATGTTCATTATTGTCAATTAAATACTATTCAGCAAATGGGTTTCGGTTCCTTCTTTGTCATTAAAAATGCTGATTGCCAGTAGACATCAAGTCAGGCCTTGTTTCGATTAACTCTTGCATTTTCCTTGAGCGGAAGCCTGTGCACGACTCAGCCTGAGAAGGATTCCAGCCTCGAGGTTCTGCATTTGAGAATTGCTTTTTGATAAATAAATTAACTAAATTTTAAAAAGTTGTTCTTCGTAGAGCAATTCAAAGCTTTCAAACACCACTGAAGGTACTGTGAAACTCTTTAGCCTTCAGTATTGGCTGGAGGATATAAATTTTCTCCATTGGCAGATTCGCATAGATGAAATTAAATATTAACTACTTGGTACCGTGATTTCTGAAAGTAAAGGAAGTCCTGTCGTCGACGGACTCTTTTCGTTATTGCATGTTTCTATCAAACATGTTTAACATACGTAACGCTTAGCGTAGGTGTTTTTAATTACATTACGAAATTCACTTGCTTCTTATGAAAAATGCCTACATACATATAACATAAATACATGTTAGTTCGTATCTACCTAAGGATTTTTTGACGACTTAAAAGCTATTTCTGTGAAAAAAGGTTTAACGTTACGTCGGATCGACACTGAGCAGCCAACCCGATCCACAATTGAGAAGCATGTACTTAAATCGCGGAAAACTGTCCCGTTTGAAAGTAGCTTTATGTACCAGCTTCTGAAAAATTCAGTCGGATCAAGATTCGTAACCATCTCTCGGGCTGCGTTAAGTCACCTATGCGCCTACTTCGAATGCCGGTATAAATAACGCGAATAGAAACGCATATGTCTAAAGCTCATGAAAAGGTGAACGGTTTCATTGAAGTCATCGCCTCGATGACTGTCTGTGACGCCATCTTGCAAGTCATTCCAACTTTAAGGTTGCGCGGCGGAACAAGCATCACCTTTTTTGGTTTCGCTGTTTAGCGGGTTGCTTGGCACTCGCCTCACTTTCCTCCTTGCTGACGTTACCGCGGGATAAACCTGAACCAGGTTAGGATAAAGGGTAATATTGCCACGGATAGGTATGTGCAGGTCGTTCGTTATGGCGAGTTCACCTTTTATTGTGTGCGAAAGCTTAGCGAAACAGCGGCTGTGTGTCTACTTTTGTTAAGACTAATCACTCTTGGAGCTGTAACTATAGCAACCCACTATGACCCAATTTTCATTCTCAATGATACTGACACATAGACATAACAAAGTGCTCAATAAAAAGACCACTGTATACTCGGTACTTCATTCACTCGCGCCGGATTTCCGAAGGTAAACTTTCTACGAATAAACGACGGAGACTAGGATTAAGAGTCTGGTATTCTTGATCGGATTCGAATTATTCGAAACTTCTTGGACTATGCCTCGCATCTCAATGCAGGAAATAGTACTTGTGAGGTCTGTCATGCCTTTTTATTCGAAGCTTGATAGTTGCCAAAGCACAGTGCTTCTATGTATATATATATATATATATACATATACATATGTATTATGTATGTGTATATATATTATTTATGTGTTTTTATACATCGCAGCATTATGCTTAGTGAATTATTTAGAACGATAAAAGAATAATGCTCAGCGGGCAATCAAGTGGACTTCTGAACCTTCTGATATGTCAGCGGAAATTGATTCCGACAATGTTTTCCTGGTAGCCGACTGCCAGTTATAAACTTTTGTTCCCTACTAATATCTTCGTCAGTCGATGCGCTATTCTATAAAAGACGAACAAGCTACAGGACAATCACGTCATAACTTCCGCGTACGGCCGCCAAACGGCTGTATCGCCCCCGACAATCCATTTCTCCGCCAACAATTTCTCTCTCTCTCTCTCTCTCTCTCTCTCTCTCTCTCTCTCTCTCTCTCTCTCTCTCTCTCTCGCAATATACATATATCATGTTCAAACCAGCTTGCTCCCTTCGCTTCATAGTCGTTAAATGGGAGAATGACAGTTTTAAACTATCAAGTAACAAAATTTCAGTTGGAACTTTTAGATCAGCTCGTTGATGATAAAGTCACGGTTTAATGCTAGCCTGTACGAATAAGTGGTACTCTTTTTCTTTGTGTCACCGCTTAGGTTCATAGTTAATAAAAAAAAAGAAGTATGAAGAATGACACACAGATATGGAACCGGGGCGAAGAAAATTTGGGACGATGATAGTGCGCGCGTTTTTGCAGGTCTATACGCGTGAAAAACGTGTAAAATTTTCGGTCACATACGTTATATACGCGTATATACGTACACTCATTAGAGGGTCTAAAGCGGAACACCCGAGTTTAGTCAACTACGAGCAGAATGATCACTGACAAAGCGGAAGTGGAACTAGCTACTTTATTGCTCTATAGCAAAAGAGACCGCTGTACGATGATTTTGTGATACGAACGAGGATCACCTCGTTCGTCGAGCGATAGGCGGTTCAGGACTTTCACCAGAGAAGAATGGTATTGAAACATAACAGCCATCAACGTAACAATGGCGTTGAAAAGCTCGAAACGAATTAAAAATAGAAAGCGGGTTTTACCGTATTACGCTTTTGTATTACTAATTTCTACCGTATTACTTTTTTGAGCCGCTCAGTCCTATTTATTATTCTCACTATACGATGCTGCAAGCATATTACAGGGTCCAACATTATAGTTCTGTAGATATAAGGCGCAATTGACTAACGACCTTACCCAATAATTGTGGTGAAATCTATATACCACATGTATGTGTGTCAATCTCTGTAATGGAGTATTTTAATTTTTTAAGAACAGGTTTGTTACTTTACCAGATGTGGCACGAGGAACCGTTGAAAATACATGTACACGAGACGAGCCTCTGGTTTATCTCGTGTACATGTATTTACAAAACGTCCCTAACCGTTCTTACCAGGCCTGAAACCTTTTCGGTTTTAAAAAATACAGCTTTTCGTTGGCTGAAAATATCAGAATGTCGTTAAAGTTATATCTTTAGAAGAAACCAACTTACAAAAAAAATTGTTCTCCGAATATATAAGCTACAAGTATGTCATAAGTACCGCTGATCTTATCTCGCTTACTTTAGCCTCTATCTGTGCTACGAGAGTTTTGTAATGACGTTTGATTCATTCTGAAGGCCAACTCGCTCCACAGGACACGCACTCAGATCAGGGCTCATCACAGAGTCGAGGTCTTCTCAATAGTGTCGACTAAATTTCAACTGTTCATTTTTTTATGTTCTTTTATGGCTATCCCGGAAATTAAATGCGCTGGAACATTGAATTCTATGGATAGCTAGAAAATATTAACATAGACCTTTCGAAAACGACGTGAATGAGCTTGTCATCATGGCTTTCTTTGTTACAATGTCGTTCAGCCTTTAGTGATTGTCTTGTAACGTTATCTAATGTTCGATTGTGACATATGCGTTTCTATGCTCGTGGAAAGCTTTCGTTCGCAAGCACCTCTTCGGTCTCCCTTCCTTGCCTCTCTATTTCCCCTTGTGGCTGTCTGCTTTTGCCTGGCTTTGTACCGTACGAAAATGAACATTCAACAAAGTTTACTGCACCCTTGTGCGTGCTGCATAGAACGGAAAATACTGATTTGATTGTTACGTCTAATCGATTTCCCAGTAAAACAATGTTTGATGTACAGAATTGATCAGTGATTCTAAAAGAGAAAAGGCAACTCCATGTTCGACGTTCCACGGTTGCCCACACTCGTCGAGTGCAAACCTATAGCATGGTATTACTCAACACTACTTGAAATAATTACTCCAGTATCGACGAACGGTTGTCCGAACGACGTGGACAGTCTGTCGACAGAGGTGACGAGGTGCACCGTACCGCTCACAACCGGCCACTGGTGTTTTCTTATTTGACTAGCGCAGCCTACCTCTTGTTGCCTTCATCTGTATCTTCGTCGTCTTTTTCGTCTTCATCGTTGTCCATGAACGGGGAAATGGACTCGCCATCAAGGAAAGCCATGAAGGCGGCTACCGCTACGGTAGCGGGTTCGCTTTGACGTCTAGCGCGGCTGGTCTGTCGTCCACAACCACTTTGCCGTTTGCCCGCAGCAAATAGTGTGGATAGTAGATGGCTCTCGCAGTAAACTTGTCTGAACGCCTGTCAAGCAATGCCTTCGATGTCGATCTGTTGAGGGTGCAGGGAGAAACTCCGTGCGTTCGGAGAAGTGCGCGATCCATGAAGCAATGTGGGCGTAAATAACGTACGCTAAACTAAACGGAATCGCATGCGGATATAAAAGAACAGTGTTCCAAGCCGTATCCTGAATGATTCGCAGTCTTGAGCGTGCGCACGTCGTCGTGTAGTTGCGGGGCCCCGTAATGTTTGCTGCTATGTGTACATACTATAAAGATTATTAGTGGAATTAGAGAATGGTATTGCTGGCCGGTAAACAGTAATTGTTCAGTGGGTCAAAAACTAGGTGCTGAGAACTTGCCCATAAATGATCATTGCGTTCAAGACGTCGTCGAACCACACAGATTCATGCTATTACTGTGCTATTTCATCTTTTGTTAATCTCAGCAAGAAATAGGCCTGGTCGAACTCTCCATTAGTGTGAAGTAAGTTCTGTATGTATGTGATTTTAGCTGCTTCAGAATGAAACGCCCTACGCAGTATGCATAGAGTTCCCCCAAACGCTTTGAAGCTGTTCGTGTGACTAAGACGTTTAGCAGTCAAATCTTGAATTGGGTATTCCCTATACTGTTCCTAAGTAAAAATGATCAGTCCAGTTAATGCCTTGCTAGCGAATGAAGTTCTCTTACAAATCAGAGTAGTTCGTCCTGTTTACTGTAACTACACGTATCGATAATGGCTGCACGGTGTTCCTGCGGCAAACGATGCTTGACAACAAGTTGATCTGTTTTTGTGTGACGCTGTTACAGAGTGCAGGTTTGATGGTTGTACATGCACACAATCGCTGTGCATCGCCGAACGGAATACCAACAAGTGGCTCCAACCAAAGTGCGCAGTCTTTCGCTGTTTCCTCGGAGAACACCGCAAGCGACTCAGAAGCACAGGCCTTGCCTGCACCACACCCAACCGCAGCAATGCCCAGGTTCGGAGAAGCCCGAGGCTTGACAGAAAGATCTAAGGAGTTTCACGTGATGTAGATTGTCGAGTAGTTACTGCTGTATGCGGAACCCGCAGCTATTAACCTGTATTTGTGGTGACCATTGTTGAATGACGTGCTGTTTGCAGGTTGTACGAACAGATTGCTGGAATAGGCAGTCCGACAGGCTGGTTTTGGTTAAGCATTGAGCAGGTCGTTATACTCGGTGTGGCCCTGGGCATTGCGGTCAAATACCTCTTCTTCGAGAGGCGTGCGCAATTAAAACAAGAGCTGGCGTCAGCGGCCATTGATCTCATTGAGGGTAGGTTCGGGTTTCGTAGCGTAGAAAAGATGCCACGTCTCGCGTCAAGATCGCCTACGCAGTTTAAAAAACCACATAGGACAGCACTAGCTTCGTCTACTTGTCTACACTTGCTTGAGGCTAACGCAGACAGATGACTTTTTAGATAAATCTTACCTATAGTCTGAATTGCTTGTTTGTCATATTGTTAGTACATGTATAAGAAGCGACTGTACAGGAAAATTTTATAGTTTGCCCTTGACAACTAGCTGATTTCTCGATTACTCAATTATACACTTCCCTTACTAGGGATCGACAAGACAAAGCTGCGAGGGTCACCTCACTGTGATGTGGCGCCAGATCGCAATCTACGTGATAGAGTACGCAAGATATCGTCTGAGCTCGAGGAGCGCAAAAGACCCTCATTTATGCTTGGAGCCGAAGATGGCGAATTCGACCGCGAAGACAAAATGGTTCAGACGGATCCGCCGTTTGTCGTGCACAGGTAACTGACAGCCATCTTTTTTCAAGTCTTTATGCTTCTTTATTGACAGCTAACTGAAACCAGAGGAGGCGATCTGACCCAGAGTATCACTCACAGCACACCAGCGATATAACACTAATCAATAGTGATTACGATACATACGATAAGATCTGCACGTGACTCTGCAGAGGGCTGTATTACTTGATGTTTCCCTTCAACTCCACCGTTCATGTGGCAATTAACATTTTGAAAAAAAGTTTGAAGTATCAGCTTGCTTGGCTACTGAAAACTAAGCTTAGTGAAAAAAAAAAACGAATAAAGCAAATCAATAAACTTAATTGCGCGAAAATGGAATGAAAACAAATCAAGACGTGGTTATCCAGTTGTAGCGAAGCGATGAACACACTTCAATGTCCAGTGCGGTTTTGGCGATCTTTAGAACTGACGCTTGGCGTACAATCCGTCCTTGTTATCACACGCGTCATTTATCAACGTCATTGACGCCGTTTCGTCGTCGGCCAGCGTGAGGAACACAATTAACCACCGTCAGTATTTTTATGTTGGCTCGACGCTTGAAGTCTGAAGCGGTAGGTAAATGTGTGTCTTTCTGCGAGTTGATCCTCATGAGAAAGCAGTAAGCAAACGTAAAAATTAAGAACCAACAAAGGTCTGTGAGTGTGACATCCATAATCTTATTTGCATATCTGACCTGTGTGTGGTACGAACTAGACGAACCTGGCATTTCTAATATTATATAGTTGTATTGTTTAACGCTCGGTTATCACCTGGCTTACACTGTAGAATATTCAAGTGTGAGCGAGGCGATCTAGCGAAGATCTAGACTTCAATAGAATTATTGACGTCTAGATCCTCTATGCGCAGCTTCGCAGTTGCACACCCTAGACATCTTCCCCGTCCCGACCAACGTGTCACCGCCGTTTTTTGTCTCTATTTCGTTAGTCGGCCTCAACCAGTACGATTTCTGTCGGACCTATCCATTCCGCGAGTGCATGTGTGTATAAATGCTATCAGAAAATCATCGCGTCCATCATGGCCCTTCCGGTGTTTTTTATGGGTTAGTTCCCGTTATTGCTATCAGTATTTTGTGCTCACTCGACTATCCTAGTAGCGTGTATATTTTCAATGGCTTCCTCTGCACGGACCGGCGTAGGGGAGGCAGTAATAGAAAAGGCGGCAACTACATCAGCAAGAAAAAACAAGCATACGGCGAAAATGAGCGTATGTATGCGTTGATGAGCGCAGTCCCTGTTCGATGTGGTTTTCCGCATCAAGAACTTGAGCAGTAGACGATGATGAATAGTACACAGTGCGTGCATCTTTTTACCCAGCGGATGTTTTGTATAGTGATCTGTCCAGAAAAACTCAGGGCACACATTGATGGGACGAGACACACTCGAACGCCACATGGTCGTTACCTTAAGAACTCCCAATCTGTAGAAACAAATAGTGATTATCGACGACGTGACGTTCGTAATATCGGACCTGCTTGGCATGAATCAGATCATCTAATTTTTGGAACGTGATAGGCGACGCTGCTCGCTTTAACCCAACAAATTGCAGCTGTTATTAATTAGCGTAAACTGGAGAATACTAAAGTAAATTGAGTAATGGCCGTCTACGCACTGTTCGTTGATAACAGAGTCCACAAACATTTGATATCTTATATGTTTATGGAAGGTTCTACAAAAAGTTCGAAGGGAAATAACTTGAGAAAATGTTAGATATTCATCTGTCCGTAAACGCCAACTGTGTGTCTGTGTAATCGAACAGGGAGATCGAAAGATCGTCATGGGGTACAGTTGCGCTACAACATCAGATGCCTTTGAATACCATAATGGCATGAACGACTGGGTTAAATGCCACGATAACCGTAAACAAGAGACTGGCAGACATACGGATAGCAAATAAAAATAGGAAAACAAGAAAGATCTACGACAATGTCCTTTTACGCCGTTCTTATTATTACATTAAAATATAAATATTATATTAAAACGTCCTTCATATTATACAAGTTCTATTTTTAGGACACGAGAATACGATTGACCAGAAGATTAATTGGAAACATATACGACACGAAGCCGGCTAATGTCGCCACGAGCACGGCTAAATCGAGAACAGAAACTTCGATTCGAGAGTAGCACATCTGTACATAAAAGCTGCAAAAAGCTAATTTACCCTTGCCTGTTGTTGCTTCTTCCTTTCCTTTGTTTACTTGACACGATAGTGATTCATCGGTGACATCGCCTATCACGCACGTTGTTGCAACAGATACTGAAGACGAATGTCCGTGTCGTGATATATCCGAATGTCTTGAACTGTTAAGTAAGGAGGGCGGATCCCACGAGCTCACGGACAAGGAGGTCCTCATGATGCTTGACAGCGGCCATATACCGGCGTACAAGCTAGAATCGGTGCTCGACAACCCTATCCGTGGGGTAGCCATTCGACGTCACGTCGTCGCCACCGAGGCGGCAGCTGGTCCGGTTCTACAGAAGCTCCCTTACCTCCACTACGACTACTCACTTGTAATGGGAGCTTGCTGTGAGAACGTTATTGGTAAGACCAGCATCTACCGAAACACATACGCTTTCAGTGGTGCAAGAAACAATACGTTCGCGATCATCCCATAAAAAGCAAATTCAAAAATACTACCCACTGATAATTAACAGTTGGAATTGTTCTTACAATAGTAGCAGTGGTATTCGAAACAAAACGGCAATGGTACTATGTACGGACTCGGCAGAATGCCGGTCTTCTAAATCTCTCGGCACCTTAGCCAACTTAAATAACACTCAGCTCTTAACGAGTAGCCATAATTCCGTATCTCCCATAGGTTACGTTCCAATACCTGTTGGTATTGCTGGCCCATTGTTACTCGACGGTCGCAAATTTTTCGTTCCCATGGCAACGACCGAGGGCTGTTTAATTGCATCGACAAATCGTGGATGTCGAGCCATTGCCAGGGCCGGTGGAGCATGCTCGGAGGTCTTCAATGAGGGTATGACTCGGGGACCCGTCATCAAGCTGCCAAGTGCCACCGAAGCCTCTAATATAACCAAGTGGCTGAGAAAGAAGGAGAACTTTGCTGAAATCAAACAGGCCTTTGACGCCACATCTCGTTTTGCCAGACTCCAGCGAATACAGACTCGAATTGTTGGTAAATACCTGTTCATTCGGTTCGTTTCGACGACGGGTGACGCAATGGGCATGAATATGCTATCGAAAGGCAGTGAAATTGCGCTCGAACGCTTGCGCGAGATCTTCCCCACTGTCGAGATAATCTCAGTATCGGGCAATTACTGCACCGACAAAAAGCCAGCAGCCGTCAACTGGATTGAGGGCCGAGGCAAGGGTGTCGTATGCGAGTCCGTCATTCCAGCGCGTCTGGTTAGCGAAGTGCTGAAAACGAGCGCGGCCGCCGTGGCTGAAGTGAATACCAGCAAAAACCTTATCGGCTCCGCAATTGCAGGATCAATCGGAGGATTCAACGCACAGGTATAAAAAATATATATAGGTTTTCTCGGTTCACCTCTATCTATATCTGCATTTCAATATCTAAAGAAAATATACAGTATATTTGGTATATTTAATTGATTCTCCCTATTAGATCTCCTTTTATCGGTGACTTTAGCCTATTTCACTTTTGTACCCAATTTTCATTTCTTATTTCTCCATTTTGCAGGCGGCTAATATCGTTACGGCAATATACATTGCCACTGGGCAAGACCCGGCGCAGAACGTAGGAAGTTCAAATTGTATCACCGTTGTTGAAAGTTGCGGCGAAAACAACGAGGACCTGTACATTTCGTGTACGATGCCGTCGATTGAAATCGGCACCGTTGGAGGTGGAACAATACTACCGGCGCAAAGCTCCCTTCTCGAGTTGTTGGGTGTTAAAGGCTCATCGCAAGATATGCCGGGCGAAAATGCGAGAACGCTTGCTAGGGTACGCTGGAACATTTTATAAAGCAGAGCTTCTTTAACCAAATCCGGAACAATCAAAATCCAACTTTGGCTCTTGTTTGATTGCCAGTTATGAGGCAGTATTATTACATATCCTATGATAGGCACCAAATCGCGAACACAACGCGTTGGTTTTGCTTACACTAACTGTTGATGCTACGGTTGTTATAGAATACGGCCCGAAATAGGTATTTTTAACTCGGCCTTTTCCGGTCTCTGGTATTGACTCGCAGGTTGTATGTGCTACCGTAATGGCTGGCGAGCTATCACTGCTATCGGCGCTTGCCGCTGGCCACCTGGTCAAATCGCATATGCGGCACAATCGTTCATCGATTAACATGAGCACTTCAACGTAGGAAGGTATGGCCGCATACACAGTGTCTTCCAAAGCGACTTCATCTGCCGAAACTCAGTGTCTTCTGTTTCCTTGCACACTGATAAACTAAACAAAAACAGGCATACATCGTATTACCGGCGCCGTAGTGCTTACTAAAATGTCCATTTCCCGGATGCTGTAGTTTCTGTCTATGACCACTTTTTACGACGAAAATTAGCCTCCGGTTGCTACAACGTCAACGGTTATCTATCTACATGTCGTATGCATCTTCGCTTAATAATGAATACCGGATAGCGCACGCTTAGTTGATAAACTCAGATGCAATAAATTGAATTACTGAAAACAAATAATATAACATACTCTTTCAAACCAAAGAAGGAGTACGTTCGCTATCATTCTGGGTGGCCCAGTGTACGCACTTGGCGCAGTGCATATGTTCAAAAATGATTCATCGGGACGAGCATGCTCCTGGGGCAACCTGTTCAGTTTTTAAAGAAGGACGACACGACGATACGACCTTCGTGCCGTGCGCTTGAAAGACGGAAGAAGATTTAATGTCGAAAAAAAAACAAACTGTACAAATATTATCTAAAGCATGCGCACATTTATAGATACGCGAACATTCAGCTATGAGGAAGTACAGACAAGACAAACACGGAAAATTTAATAAGAAGTAAACAAAAAACTTTGCATTCCAGCAAAGGTGACAGCACTATTTGATATAAGCGTGCTTTTTAAGTAAAACGAGTGCAATATGTTAGCTCCTATAGTAAAGGCGACAGTGACTGACTGCATAATTGACTTAAACGCATGAGAGAGTAGCTGCGTCGGCTGGGAGCTTCATGGAAAAGATTTGAGTGGATAGTACATGAAAACAATAGTAACGGCGCATACATACTTACTAAGAAGAAGCGCTCAGCGAACTGGAAAAACGAAAAGGGCAAAAATGGACGCGCGACGTATAGACTCGATATAGACTGTTAGGAACTACGGAGCCACGTTAAGGCTATAGGCAACGGAGGACAGGCGAGGGTTCTACATGCCGAAGCTGAACAATAATAGAACAACGAAATACGATCAACAGAGAGATAAGTCGCCTTTCATAGATTTTTTCAATATACGTGATATAATTTTAATCAAGCTAGAAAGCTGTTGCCACACCATGCATAGATAGTGGCTATAGCCATACATTGAGCTGTGTGCCCGTCAAGTCGGCGTGACGATAATACTAGTGCAGACGCTCAAATTCATTAAGGCATGTTTGATTTTACGAAATATAATATAGACACATGTATCACGAGGGCGAGTCACGCTCTGAGCACACTTTTTTGCTGACACTTTTACAAGTAATGATGATGACGATGATGATGATGATATGGACAACTGAGCAACACTCACAAAGTACCACACAGAGTTGACTGACATTAGCGTATACGTCTAACTGAAGCTAACGAGTATACACAAATGATGATCGAAGATGTTGAGTGTGATAAATAGTCTTATCTTCTATCTGTAGAAATAAATTGAAGTTTATTGGCACACGATTTACTAGTGGCCATGGAACGAAGTTAGATTTAAAACGGATCGCTAAATAAAACAAAAAAAAGACAAAACAATTGTTGAACCAGACAAATAAAATATCATAGATAGAAACGACGGCCATTGTTGACAAAACGGAACGCAAGTTAAACACATTCTCAAACACATAAATGACGAGCGGCTGGAGTGAAAAATCTAATGAAAGATAAATGCATTCTAGACGCAAATTTTCTATACTGTACAAAGATTTGGACAGGATCGGGAGAAATGACTGGCGATTGGGGCTCGTCCTGCTTTCAGTGGATCACCCACTGTTGAGCCAAAGGTCATTGTTCTCTTATTTGGTCCATTTTATTGAACTACTTATAT